TGTTCCTACTGTCAGGTTACCCATTTCATGGACTACGTTAGAATGTAAGCCATTTGTGTGCATTTGAAATTTAGAGACAAGCTGCCCGCTGAATAGTGCTGCCTCTTGGAGGATGGAGGTCTATGGAAGGAAAAACACAGGCTCAGTTTAAAAGTTTATTGTATCTTTAAGACCCTTAGCATTTTTGGAGTAAGTTTCTTAGAAGTGAAAAGGTATTATTATATCCTTAAGTAACTTTGATTGTGTTCTGAATCTCCAGTTTTTTGAAAGGTACAATTTAACTCAGTTCCTCATACTGGTTTACAAATGCTCATGCCATAGTTTTTGAATGAAAATATGTGCTTTAGCATAATGGTAGCTGGCTGTGCATCTCAGTAACTGTGCTAGGGAATACAGGAAGCAACCTCTGCATTCATCCACTTGGTACAATGAACAGCAAGGTGTGTGCATGTGTGTCAAAGTGTGAACAGGTGAGTTTTACCCATGTTATGAGCTGTGTTCCTTTTTTGTGTATTGATAATTTTTTATTAAATGTTTCTTTTGATTTTTCTTGTGGAATTAGCCCAATTCAGTTATCCTATGAAAATCTGCTTTTACAACTTTGGGAGGAGGTTGAAAGTGAGTCATTGGGTGACTTGGCTACTAATGGTGACTTGGATCATGTAAGCTGAAGAAGTTAGCAAGATATGACAGTCAGAGAAGTACAAAATAAAGACCTTGATTCAGATGAGGAAACAAACAGTAAAGTAAATAAATATCTGACTAGTCAAAATGGTACAAAATGGTCATATATACCCAAATGCTCCAACATTAGAACTAGGTCAGAAAATGTTATTAGGTTCTTGCCAGTAGTGAAACCTATTGGATAGAATGCCAGCATTGGCATTTGGTGCTGGAAATTGTTTGTAATGGAAAATATGCTCCAAGATGTTTTGAAATAAACTAATAATGAAATACAAGTAAAACATTCTATGTGCATCAATAGTAATACTCAGAAATATATTTATCGTGACATCTCACTATCTGAACAAAAAGCCTTCAGAGAAGAACTTTAGCATTCTAATTGTCAGAGTCTAAAGGATTTATGGGGAAATGCCAGACATGGTATTGAGATTTTTAGAATAATAATGACATTCAAGAGATTTAGTTTCCTTCAAAATTGCCTATGTTTTGCTGACAAAAAGACCCACCAATAAAAAAAAATTGACAATTTGGCTGCTATCCACTTATTTCTTGAAAGCTTTGTATCAAACTGTCAAGCAATTTATACACCATCCAAATACATGACAGTTGATGAATACCTTGCATCATTTCATGGTTGTTGAAGCTTTCAGCAATATATGCTAAATAAACCTTCCAAATATCCTATAAAAATATATGCCTTGGTGGATGTGAAGACATTTTACACCTTAAATTTAGAAATTTATCCTGGAACTCAGCCACCAGGTCTTCATTCATGTAGTAATAAACTGTATGACTTTGTGAACAGACTTGTTGCAGGTATTCCAAAAATAACCCAAATGTCACATTCAACAATTGGTCCATTAGTTACTCATCACTGTTACCTTTGCTAAAAGAACACCAGTTGACCAGCACAGGAACTATTTGCAAGAATAAAGCTGAGATTCCTGAAAAAATGTTGCAAGTTCACAATAGAGAAATGGACAGTACAATCTCTGGATTTCAGAAAGATATAACATTGGCCTCCTATATGGTGAAGAAAAACAAAGTAGTGGGCCAGGGATTTAGCTGAGTGGTTCCAGTGCCTGCTTCGCAAGCTCAAGGTACCAAGTTCCATCCCCGGTACCAAAAAAAAAACAAAAACAAAAAACAAAGTAGTAATAATACTGTCAAAGTTGCATCATTATAATAAGATTGATAGTGAGGCCAGATGTGGTGGTGCATGCCTGGAATCCCAGCGCTCACACTAAGGAGGCTGGGACAGGAGGATCCTGTGAGTTCAAGGTCAGCCTATGCTACAAAATGACTTCAAGGCTAGCCTGGACTACATAGGGAGACCCTGTCACAAACAAAAAAAAAAACCAAAGTAACAAACACAGATTGATAATGATTCCTCAACACAAATGAAGCCAGAAATCGTCACATTTTACAACAAAACAAAAGGCAGAGTAGACGTTGTTGATGAGTTATGCAGCAATTATGATGTTACTTGAAACACAAAGCTTTGGCCAATATTGTGTTTTATGCAATCCTATCAGGCATAAATAGTTTCATAGTTTACAGAGAAAATAACAACAAAATAACAGAGAAATTTTATTAGAGGATTGGGACTGGAATTGATAAATGATCAGTTACAACAGAGGAAGAACAGTATGGATCTGCCCAAAGAACTCCTCAAAAGAATTCTGGAGCAGACCACTAGAACCTCCTAAGAAAACAGGAAGATCAGTAAGATGTCAAGAATGTCCTTCCAAAACAGACAGGGAATCAAAACACATGTGCTTGCGGGGGATTTAGCTCAGTGGTGCCACCACCTGCCTCAGAAGTGCAAGGTCCTGAGTTCAATCCTCAGTACCAAAAAATTAAAATACATGTGCTATCAGTGTAAGTGATATGAAACATGCTGTTTTCACGTGTGGAAAATTTCCTTAGGTATGATAATTGAAGTAAATATATTATTTTTGTGATAGAGTTTTATTTGTGTTTTCATTATAGTTCACATAGGAATTTATTTCTGCTGTTATTTTTTTATTTAGTAAGCGAACAGTTGATATATAAATGTTAATGTCTATTCTAAACAATATATTTCTCTTTCCTGCTAAGTGCGTATAATACATTGTGTGATGTAATAGGAAGCTCCTGACAAAAGTGGAAGGCAAGAGGGGTGACAAGTATGGCCTGTCAAACAGGAAAGGAAAGCTAAGCACCAAGCCCGGGCAACTTAATGACTTGATGAGATGCTGTTTAAAAATTAAAATTAAAAACAGAGCTGGGGATGTAGCTCAATGCGGAGACCTGCAACCAGTATAAGTAACTTCCGTCTTCCCCCACTTAAACTAAAAAGCAGTCATAGAAGAAACAACACAGAACTTTGAGTTTGAAGGCCTGGGTTCTAGTTTTGACTCTGCCATTTCTCATAGGACCATGAGTTTACTGTGGTAGACAATGGTCAGTGTAAGTGGGAATGCCCAGCTGAACTAAATCAGGGTAGTTCTGAGCATAAAAGACCCACCTGAGGATGGTTGCCAATGGCATAAAAGGAGAATGGGAGGGGAGGATTGCATGCTGTAGATTTCCAGGAGAAGCTTTGTTGTGGCTGGTTTTCCTGATAGAAACATCGCTGTTCTCATCTTGGAGGAGCTTGTGTCCTTGCTGTCCCTGGGGATGGCTGCTGTTCTCTTCAGGGAAGCTCTGGTCTTCATCTTGAGTGTCGCTTCCTGGCTCCATTGGAGAGCCCTTGGCACAGATCCTTCACCCCGCCGGCACAGACTTCCTAGCTTCCACCACTGGCCTTTGGGCCTTCCTGGTGCAGATTGTTGATATGGACAAGCATGATACATTGCCATGGGCTCTAGCCCTTCGGCTGGACTCCTGCAGGAAATTGCTGTGGGATCCAAGTCCTTGGCTGGATTCTTTGGGTCTCTAGCGTGTGGACAGAGCTCTTGCACTCTTCTGCATTCGACTTTTGCAATGAATATTATAAAATAATCCAATAAATTATGTGTCCTATATTAAATCTATTCCCTTGCAAAGCCTGACTACAACAATAGACTAAGCCAGATGTAATAAAATTAACCTAACAGCAGGCACTCCTTAATCAGTACTGTGTACTTTCTCATTGACAACCACAGGAACAAGCCTGGTGCTGAGTACAGTGGCAAATCTGATCTGAAGTTACCTTAGAAGACCAATCATTGCAGGTATTCTTGGTGGGTTTTGAATCAGAACTAGGCTGGATTGGCTCAGTGGTGCCGCACCTGCCATTGCAAGTGCAAGGTCCTGAGTTCAATTCCCGGTACTGCAAAAACAAAACAAAACAAAATAATCACATTGATCTTTGATCTTTGTTTCTGCCCATGCAATTCCAAGAGACTTTTATTATGCTTCACTGTATCCTTTTATAAATTTTTGATGGAAATATTTCTATCTGTGACAACCCTGTGCAATGAAGATTCAAGTATATGTGGGTGAGGCAGGTAAATGAGAGATCTAACATTCACAGAATGTCTAATTTCCCTATACAAAAAAATTATCATATGTAGGCTTCACAAGAATACTTACACTTAATCATTTTATGTATTGTACTGATGCAGAAAATTAAAATGCTGTAACTTGCTAATAAATAGTAAAGGTAAATTCAAACCATTTCTGTTGATTTCCAAAATGTAGACTCTTTTAACCATATTTTACTGCCTTCCACTCTCTTATAACACATTGTACAGGAGATTGGGCACTTATGTGAAAATCACTAAGATATTTCACATCCTGATTCCAGTGTGTAAACAGATTAGATGCCGTGTGAAGCATAAAATCACATGGAATGATTAAGAAAAATAGCAATGATAATCTTTTTTGCTTTTAATTAGAATCTGTTAGAAGGAAGGATATGATTTTAATTTTGCATAATGAAGATAAAAAGCTAAAATTGTATACATACAATTAATGAAGACAAAAAATCCTTGAAGGTCCAAAATAATGTTTTATATTAAATACATTTTTTTTTTTGGTACCAGTAATTGAACTCGGGTCCTTGCACTTGCACAGCAGGCGGCGAAACCACTGAGCTAAATCTCCGGCCCATTAAATACAATTTTATTCAATTGTCTCAAAATAGAATATGTCAAATAGCATATTTTTATGGTAGTTCATAAAATATAAATATGTAATATGAAAGTCTTTCTGTAGTTAGAGTTAGGGACTATGAGAAAAAGATTGCCAGATAAAATTACCAGGTAATAAACCTTTTAGGAAAGAATGGAATAGGGCCAGGAATTTAGCTCTGTGGCACTGCACTTGCCTCGCAAGTGCAAGGTCCTGAGTTCAACCCCCAGTACCGAAAAAAATAAAGAATGGAATATAGACCTCTGTGAACTATGTGATATCATACAAGTGTTGTTATTTGTGTTATAATCAGATGAACATGAGAGTATGCACTTTAACGTAAGCAGCTGTCTCACAGTGATGAAAATTTACCACCTGGTCTATATTGTTGAAATTATGTGTTGAAATTATATTTATCATGTAAACAGTGTTTGGTATGTTTCTTTCCTCTCTGTAAAATATTAAAAGGAGTAAAGGTAAGTTAAAAAATAAAGTAATAAATGATCATTTCCTATTGCATTCTTTTTACCTTTTGTCTTTCATCAAACTCTTGATTCCTTCTTTTCTCCTTGTCTTTCCTTTTCAAAGATAGAGATATTAGAGATGGGAAGATAGTGGAATTGTTTTTAAATTGTAGCTGTTTTGCTTTATCCATCTAGGACTGCTATCACTGTGGGCTGTGATTTGGTGCTGGCTTCTGTGAGCTCTGTTTTGGTTAGCCAGTCACCCTGTTGGCTTGGAATTCTGAGCCTGAGAAGGTCTCTCCTACAGCACAAAAGATGCCAGCAGCAATCTGCTCCCAGTGAGTCTTGGATGTCACCCACTTCAACACAGAATAGGCTTTGGACTTCCTTTCCTTTAGGCAGTGCTTCTATTTTCAGTTTCAGAAAACTAAACAACCATTTAAAAGAGTATTAGTACATATTAATTATACACAATAATGGGTCTCATTTGGGGATCTTGGTACATGCATTTAATATACTTTGATTATTTCCATCCCTCATGATCTCTCCCCTCATCCACTTCTTTTTATCTCAAATAGTATTCCTTATACTTTTTTTTTAAATATAAAATTTATTTATTTATTTATTTTCTTAAATTCTTTTATTGGTACATTGTAGGTATACAACACATTTACATTTCTCATTGGGAACTTGTACCTTTACATAATGCATCTTG